TTCTTAAGTTTTCTCTTTACTTCTTCTTTTGTATTTAATGGGAATATGAAGTGGGTTTTGAAACACATTTTGATTCTCTTCTTTTCTATGGTAAACGTAACTCTACTAAATACGTTGCCGGGTGGCAATGCCGTCCTCAGCACGAGGCATTGAAGGAGAACGCTGAGAATTACTACTGCGAGTAAAGACAAGAGCACTCACTGTTCTGAGGCTAGATGGTGTGGTGGAAGGGATTGCACGATGGTTAATAGTTGTGATCTGGGGAGGCTGCGTTATCCGTACCTCTGATTTCATCCTTCTAACGTGCGATAGCGTAAGCTTTGATAGCTATCCAACGAAATGGATGTGCGTGTGTGTGCCATGCCGTGCGTCTTGACGAGTGCAGAGACTGCCGCTGCTTGTAGGTTGTCCATTTTTTGTTGCTTGTTTAGTTGCTCTTCGATGTGGCTTTTGCCGCGTTTTGTAGTTACTGTTGCATGGCGAAAAGCACAGCGAGCGCGAAATGAAGGGGAACGATGGATGGCGAGAGGTAGCTTTTGAGGCGGCTGTAGGGCGTCTCTGCCAGCTAAGGCGTCAACTAGGGGCCAGACTGGGCTCAAGCTACAAGGCATCCCAGGAGGGCGCGCGTAGTTCCACACGGAAGCCAACCGGCACCGAGGTGGCTGAGTTGTATGGGTCCGAGGAGGCTCACGAGGGTGGTGCACTCTTTGCCTTTGTGGGGTCCGACGATGGGAACGAGTCTGCCTTGCCGGAGGCTTTGGACGCGTGCCACGCTTTCTTCAAGTTTGCTGACCAGGAGAGCTCTGTCGTCCTCACACACGGATACGACTTGCTGGGGAAGGGGGCATACTCCGATGTGTACCGAGGCACGCTGTGTGTGCCTGCAGTGAATGGTGTAGCGAGGTACGATGTGGCCGTGAAGCTGAGTCGTTTGCACATTGACAGTGTCGCTGAGGTTGACCGCTGGATGCGTCTGGTTCAGTTGTGGCAGTCTCTGGCGCACCCATGCTTGGCTTATTGCTACTACGTGGGATTCCCGCCACTGGAGGGCGATGAGGAGGACACCAGCGTCTACAGTGCTCATGAAATCGCCTTGGGTGGGACCTTGGACGCCTCTCTGAAGAGGGAAGAGCGATTTAGCGAGGATGTAGTTCGAGCCATTCTCCTTGACCTTCTCCAAGGCTTGTGCTACCTTCACGGTGAGGTGGGGGTGGTGCACAATGACATCAAGCCGCACAACATACTACTTGTGGATGAAGCAAGCCGGCAAGTGCGATACAAGTTGGCGGACTTTGACCTGAGCTACCCCATCACATCCTCTAGCTCGGAAATGGGGTTAACTACGGGGCCAGCAGTGGACGGAAGTGGGCGTGAGGCTGACGAGCTCACCTACGGCACACCGCCATATATGTCCCCTGAGAGCTGTCGCGGGCTTCCGTTTCTGCCTAGTAACGATATTTGGTCAGTAGGCATTCTGGTCTATCAGCTTTCAACGGGACGATTGCCGTGGAATCCATTGGAGTTGTGTGTGCCGTCGATGATTTTGCACGGCTACCGACGGGGCTCTTCAAACCGCTTTAGGCCAATGCTGGAGGAGTTCGAGAAGGACGTTTGCCGTGTCTACTCAGAGCAGCTAAAGGACCTGGTGAGGATTTGCCTCGCGGAAGAGGTCAGTAAGCGGCCCACTGCCGCTGCGCTTCTGCGGCACCCTTTTTTGCGTCGCTCAGAGAGGGAAATCTGAGTATAGACACTCTAATCATGTATATGCCTGGGTGGTTGCTGCGCAGTGTTTTCTTTATGTGTGTTTTCGTCTCTACAACAAAAGAGACTGACAACAAGCGTGGCTTTCGATTGTAGGAAGGGGGGGCGAAGCTGCGCCCTGCGGGCCCCAATATTTATCTTTGGGCACCTGCGCGCTGGCGCCGCTCTGTTGCCATCTTTTTCACTGATTCGGCTACAATACTTTTTTTCCTCATTGTGACCGTCTCTTTGCAGCCTTGTTGCTACAGTGGAAAGGTTTTCTCGCTCAACAGCTGAAGTAACTGCATGCTTGAACGCCAGTACTTTGAGCACCCACGGTGCCACATACTTCGGCGCAATCATGGCAACACTGGGCCCGTTGCCGGCCCTCCCTCCTCTGTTCCTCAAACAGGGGAGGCAGTGAGCGAGCAAGGAACGGGCTTCATGAGCGATGAGAAGAAGGCCATCCCGAAGCGATCCGTTTCCGCGCTCATGTTGCTAGGTATCATGTACACTTACACGACGTCAGGGGCCTATGCAATTGAGGAAACCGTGCTGGGTGGGGGACCGCTTCTTACCCTCGTTGCCGTCACTTTGATTCCGATTTTGATGGCAGTGCCTACTGCAGCAGTGGTTGCTGAGCTCGCGGCTTCAGTTCCATCCAATGCCGCCTACTTGATGTGGATCAATATTTCCTTTCATCGTGTGGTCTATTTCACGATGGTGATTCTGTCCCTATTGCTCATGTTCATTGATAACGCGCTTTATCCAGTGCTCTTTTCCGACTATGTATGCGCAGCGGTCACCTGCACAACTGTAACAAACAGAGCGCTTCGAGCTGGTATGTTGTTTCTGACGTACGTCTTGAACATATTGGGGATACAAGCAGTCGGCATGACCAGCATTATGCTGACTGTCATCACCATTATTCCGTTTTTGGTGATGTTCACCATGTTCCTTGCGAACAATGCGTTTTACTTGAACTGGCCAGCTATAAGTTACGTTCCGTCTACAATTGATTGGCCAACCTTTATTACTACGGCATCATGGAATCTTTGCGGTCTAGAGCAGGCAGCCTCGGTCTCTGAGGAGGTTAAGGCCCCGGATCGCACTATTGTTCGTGCGCTTTTCCCGCTTTTGGGGCTCGCTTTCCTCACCTATATTCCCCCTATCTTGACAGGCGCCAGTGTGAAGAAAGGACCACCTCTCCTATCAGAATGGACGACAGGGTACTGGTCAGTTGTTGCTGAGAAGATCGGTGGAAGTCCGTTGCAGGTTTTTCTGGTTATTGGCAGCGGCTTTTCAGCATTCGGACTGATGCTCTCGTCTCTGTGCACGACGACGCAGACCATCGCTGGCGTTGCATTCACGGAAGTCTTCCCAGGGCCAGTGAATCGTATTTTGTACCGGCGCAATGAGCGTTTCGGCACGTATCATTGGACAACAACGATCAACGCCCTGATCACGGGCCTCTTCAGTGTGTTTTTTGATTTCGGTCCGCTTGTGAAAACCGACCAGGTTCTGTACGGCATACGCGTGGTGCTGATATTTCTGTCCTTTTTCATCATACGCTACCGTTACCCACATCTGAGTCGTCCGTTCAGACTGCCTCTTGAGGGGTACAAGCTTGGTGTGTTGCTCATCCCAACGCTTCTGTTTGTGGCACTGACTGTGGTGGCGACAATGGAGGATGTTCAGACGGTCATCATAAATATCTCCGTGGTAGCCGGCACTATTTTGCTGTCGTTTATTTACTGCTACTTGATTCGCAAAGGAGAATTTTACGGTCGCGTGGTGACGGAGGCGGTCGATGAGCGGGAGGACGATTGAGAGGAAGGCTTTGATGCCCTTCGCTCCATTATTATTAGGGATATGGTCTCCACGGTCACTAGCCTCTGCCTGTTAGAATGGGCGACGATGACGTCCTTGGAGACACACTTCGTCCCCATCTTTTCTCCCCGCCGAGTGGTGCATCAGTTGGGGCTGGGGAGGGCCTGGGTGGGTTACACCGTGAAGTAGAGAGAGGAAAATAAAGATAAACAAAAAAATACAATTAAGAAACGAAGGCGATGGTAAAGTGAGCGGCCATCGACTTTGGGTTCTCTCTTTTCTTGGGGCGTTGTAGAACCGCGGCGAGCGAGCAAATGAAGTACGAAATTTGAAAGGAAAAAGAAGTGGAAGAAAATAATGATGGGGAGTTTTATGTAGGTGCTTAAGGTGATTTGGGTTCATTTATTCGTGAATACAGTTACACCATGCTTGTAATGCAGACACGCCTTCTTGTTCTTTTTCTTATTTCTTAAGTTTTTTCTCTTTTACTTCTTCTTTTTGTATTTAATGGGAATATGAAGTGGGTTTTTGAAAACACATTTTTGATTCTCTTCTTTTCTATGGTAAACGTAACTCTACTAAATACGTTGCCGGGTGGCAATGCCGTCCTCAGCACGAGGCATTGAAGGAGAACGCTGAGAATTACTACTGCGAGTAAAGACAAGAGCACTCACTGTTCTGAGGCTAGATGGTGTGGTGGAAGGGATTGCACGATGGTTAATAGTTGTGATCTGGGGAGGCTGCGTTATCCGTACCTCTGA